GTATGTTGTGAATCAGCACCATCATGCTTTACAGACTTTGAACCTCTTATATGTGGTGATTTTGAGGGAGCTCAAGACATCTGAATTTTCTCTCTTCATTTTACATATTTATTGTGCATTTGTTGAGTGGGCTTAATAAGCCCCCTGAGAATTCCATTTAAAATAGGGTCACAAAGACTCAGCCTTATATCAGATAGAGCCCACTTGGAAGAGCTTTATCAGAAATCTGGAGGGCGTTAAGTTACTGGGACTCTATTATAATAAAGGCCACCTTTTGAAGCAAGAGTGAAAAAAGAATATCATTCAAGTGAGATTGTTGCCCATATTTTCTTGAGTCACTTCAATAAAACCAGCTTATCCAGTAAAAGGAAACCACTGATTAGCCTCCTGAGGATGTGTTGTCAGTGGAAAGAAATAGTTCTGAGGCCCATCAAGACCATAAATGCTGAGGGACAATAAAAAGTGATGATGTCTCATGCCCAGAGAGATTTAGGTGTTAATTTACATCTTAGTGATAGAATCTTTGGATTATTTATGTCCCTGTAACTATTTAATATTCTTTGTGCCATGAGGCTTCCCCATGGTTTTTGTAAATGTATTTCCTTGTACTATTTAATTTGCTCCCACTAGAACCAGAAGTGGCCTGTACAGTCTGATTGGTGTGGTGCGCAGCCCTACATCTCATCGTGTACAGACAGCGAGGAAAAGTTATGAAGGGAATATGGTCATCCATCATGAATGTTCTGTCTCCTCTCTGTACAACAGAGGATAGTGTAGATTAAAATGACCTCTTTGCAAATTGAAGGAAATGTATTTTTGCATTTAGTTGATCTAGTGTGGACCATGTCACTTATGTTTTGGGCATTTTTAGGCTGAGGCCTAGTTTCTCAGTGTTCTCAGTGTCCCAGTTGGATGAATTGGCTTTCACAGAAGTTGAAGCAGAGCTTGAAGGAACCGCTGGTGCCGTGTCCATCCTGGAGTGTTTGTGGAGACGCAGGGCTGAAGCCTTCCAGGATTTGGTGGAACTTCTGCTGGCTCTGATAGATGGAGACACTACCACCTTCAGAGAAAGTTTATTTTGGCAGTGACTTGGTTGATTGGCTGCTTATTTCCCCTATGACTCACCTTAACCTCTCTTTGTGTTGCTGAAGGGATGGAGGAGGCAATACCTTTTCTCATTCACACAGAGATATTGCAATCATGAAAACCTAGACAGCTGTTGGCCCCTAGAAAGGGCAAACTCGATTACAGACTAAAATCTCATGGAGAAGTTTGATTTAAATTAATCAGCCCTCCAAGGCAGACTGCTTGTCTACAAAAAAAGCAAGAACACAGAAGCCTGCTCATTTCCATAGCCTTGTTTGCCTTAGCCCAGTGAGCTGAAGAGCTGGTTTCCACAGGGAAACCAGCAAAGACCAGTCAGGCTCTGAGGGCGTGGCTCTGGGGTGCCATTATTGCCTTGCGAAGGTTAATGCTTGTGGGCAGACTGGGTATGTCTGGCTTCCAACTTGTGCTGGATGCTTCTAGCCACAGCTTCAAGGCTCAGGTGTAAAACATTCCTGCTTTCTTCAGGTTTGCAGTTGTTTGCCTTTCTGAAGCTTTCTTAGTGATGCAAACTGCAGTAAGCCACAGTCTCTGAGGAGACAGCCCTAACTTTTGTCTGTACATGTGTGTGAGCTCTTGCTTGCCATGAGTGACCCTTAGATAACTTGTGTGTGTGACCCAAGCTCATCTCTTCTCTTCGATTCGCATGCACTGTTTGGGAGAAATGCCTTACCTATCCATGTGCTCCCAGAGGTGGACCAAGGTCTGATCCCCATCTATGCTGGATTTTCCTATGGGTCAGTCTTAGGAACTGTCCCAACAGAAACAGAGTGTGAAGACAGTGGCAAAGTGAGGGAAGATGTATAGAGGATTCCTGCTATGGCATTCATGTTCCCAACAGAGCAACCATGAAGTCATGCCACCATCCGATTGTCATTTCCTCTATATCTTGTCTGCAGAATAATGATTGATATTGAACAAGCAGTAGAAAAAGGAAAACACTTGCTAGCTCAGGTTACTTGTTGATTCTCATGAATAGAAAAAGTTGCATCCAGCTCCAGGACTAGTTTATGAGGTCTCCAACCACCTTCCTGGTTCATCATGAAGTTCCAGTATCCAGGGCTGCTCTATTCCCCACGTCTGTTTTATCAGCATCCACTCCTAGGCCCAGTTAGGCAAGGGGCTTGGTGGGCAGCCCCCACAAGGGCTGGTAGGAGTTGAGAAGGGAGGAGGCTGCTGATGGCATTAGGTATGTTTACAACCCCAGGCTGCTGTGGAAATGTGCTCAATTAACTGCCTGCCTGTGTTCTTGTCTGTAGAAAAGTGAAGTGTTGTGTTCCCAGACCAGCTTGAGGGCAAGAACTGAACATTAGCAACCAGTATTCCTTACTGGAATAGGCTAGCTTCTAGTCTGGGTCTGAGCAGGTGACCGACTAGCATAGGTCCCTGGCAGGACACAGACCTTAAAGGGCCACTCTTCTGTAAATCTTCCTGATTCTATGAGTCCTTTTATTTATGCTCTTCTTAGCAGATTTTTTTTTGTTGTTTTTGTTTTGAGACAGGATCTCCCAGTGTAGTTCAGCCTGGCCTCAAACTCATGGTGATCCTCCTGCCTCAGCCTCCCAAGTGCTGGGTTAACAGGTGTGTGCCATCAACTCTTGGCTGCAGATATCTTTTAAATCATAAGATTTGCCTGGTTGGGAAAGTAATTTGAAATATTTGACCTTTTATGTTTCTTCTATTTAGAAGCCTTTTACATTTCCTGTTTTAGAAAGAAAATATGTTTAGTTTGTTACATCTAGCAGAATTTTCTTCTGTTAAGTGAACATTCTGTTGGATTTTTCTTCATGCTAATAAATAGCATGTGTACATGCTTTGGGCTTGAAACAGACACGGTCCTGTATTTTCCCTTGTCTTGAATATATGTTTTACCATTTGGACACAATTTTTCAACCTTTGGGATTTTTTTTCTTTCTTTTTCTTATTCCATAAATGTAATAGCAAAGAAAAAAAAAATGGCCTAGAAGCCCACTGACCTTGTTACTGGCAACTTGTTTAAAATGAAGTTTAGATTATGGGCCCTTGAGCAGAGTATCTGTTTCAAAGGGTTAATTGTCTACTTTTTATGCTGAATTTTTAATTCAGGTGAACAAACTTGTTAAGGGTTAATACTTCTTGGACTCTGGTGAGCTATCACAACTTTTATGGTTCTGATATTTATGTTAAAAACACATTTGAAACCATCTAGATCAGCTTTGTTGATGGGAGTTAGGGCAAGTCCTAGAGTTTCTTTTTATAATTGTTCCTGAAAAGAGATTGTGTGAAACAAAATCCTGATAATGATTTATGTGGGTTTCGGTAACAATCTGAAACTATCAAATCTGAGTTGTCTTTGGAAGCTGCTACTTACATCCAACAGGAAGTTTTTCCCTGTTAATCAGGAAAGGCACCAGAGAAATGGCCAGGACATAAGAACACCTGGGAGACCTGTGTCTGTGTGAGACCACGCCCGGCCTAACTGGTGGCTGCTTCGCTGCACTTGGCTGTTTTCCTGTTTTTTCCAGAATTTGCATAGCACGTTTCAAGACTGTTTCCTTCTCTGTGGAAGTGAGGAAGGAAAGCATTAAAGGAGACTGGGCTGGTCCCAGGGATAGGGAGGGCAAGGACAGGGGCAGGATGCCTGGGACGATCCCCAGGCTGGCCCAGGCCCACAGAGGGGCTGCCTGCTTCCAACTTTTTCATTCCTAACACACTTAATGAACTTTCAAATCATGATGAAATTGACCTATTTGCATAAAATCAGTGCTTTTAATAACGTGATTTTGACATGGTTCCCTCTAAGAGAATGGTAGGGATTAAAATTATTTGTATATGTTGAAAATTGTAGGGGTTCAGGAACCCATGGCAGAAATACTAAACTATTTATTTCAGGTTTGACTGTTTTTGTTGTTTTTTTCCTCATAGTAAGTAATTCTGTCTTTGTATATTTTAAGACAAATAATCACTTCACCTTTGGTGCCTTCTGTGTGTCACATAAGCACTCTTCGTCAGTCATGGAATTGGAAAAAAAGATGTACATTTAGTTAAAACAGATAACACTATTTTTGTAGCATGTTACAGATTATGTCCTTTTAATATTGCTTTAAAAAATGCAAGTCTTATGGTTTGGGCCATTTCCCCTTTAAACTTTGTATTTTCAAAAAGAAAACAAAAAAAAAACCACAAAAAAAATCCCTGACTCCTCTCATCTCCTGTGTTGCTTTCACCCGTACATCTTGTTTCTGCTTAGTCTGAGAGTAAAAGTATATTTCTGTGAAATAAGTAAGAGTCAATATAATTGCATTTGGCATTGTTTAACCATTTGCTCAGTTTCAAGAGCTGCCGCTCACCTTGAACAGTAAAAGCCATTCCATATTGAAAAAGGAGAGAAGACTGTCATCCATGGTGACCTCCCCTCTGCTGGGTCTGAAATTGTGGAAAGCCCGCTTCTGGCTCCTTGCCCTCTTCACCTCGGGCCCTCAAGATGCCCCCTGGCCTGCATCTTCCAGGATTGGCTTAGTGCTCCCTGCTTTCTAGAGCACCACAACCCGTCTCCAGCCGTACCCAGCGGTTGGATTTTCAGATGGGGTCGTGGATGCTCAGGGTGGGCTTGTGGCCCTGTCCAGGTTTTAGGCCTGAATGTAGTAGGTGCTCTCCTATGAGGAGCTGGATGAAACCAAGGCACAGGCAGACTTGAGCAGCTCCCTGGGCTTCTCTAGCCCTGCAGGCCGAGTTGTATCTGGTCAAGGAAAGTCTTGTGTAAACTGAGCCATTGTGGAAGGAAAGTATGAGTTACCGAAACATGAAATTGTAGCTTTGTTTTGACCTTCTGAAGAGTCAACATGTTATTCTGTGATTAACAAAGGAAGTGCAGTGAGACAGCTACGTCATAACTTTCTGACAGGTTCACTCATTGGTACTTTACCTAGTGGCACTTTTAGGGGCAGTGTTAATAATTTGCCATGCCTTGTTTCTGAAAAGTCTTTCCTGTGGCAGTTCAGACACAGCTGTGAGCATTCCAAGGTGATGGGCACTGGGCAAACTTTGGCTCATGTGGCTTGCGGGGCAGAGCTCCCATCCTGGCCTCTCACACTGACATGGCTGCTGTGCCATGGGCCTCAGGTTTGACCCTGTACATTTGCAGTGGGGACCCCAAAGTGTGTTCCTATTGATTTGTCCCTGACAGCAGACAAAGCCTCACACTGCCCTCAGTCTTCCCCTTTATTTCTTTTGAAGGACCAATTTTTCATGGTACTTGTCTTGATTGTTTTAATAGCGTTCAAATCTGTATTTTTGTATGTAGAGGGAAATAATTTTCTCAACACTAATCGCTAATAAATATTGTATTAAATTGTCATGAAGGAGTTCTTGTTTAATAAATGGACATGTAAAAATACTGTGGTCTCTCTTCTCTGCCTTGCCTCCCCTGCCTCACCAAAGGCCATGGACCCAGGTCCTGAAACAGGCTTGTGAGCTTGGGATTTAGCTCAGTGGTTCCACTGCCTGCTTTATAAGTACAAGGTCCCAAGTTTGATCCTTGGCATCCCTCAAAAAGAAAACAGGCTTGCTCTGTGGAAGTTGAAAGAGCTGCTGTAGTCCACAGGATGCAGTGAGGCCTCCATGATACCCATTCTGCTGGCTGGCAAGGTGAACAGAATCTCTACCCTGTGCCTCTCTTGGCTTTTCACATTCAGCTCCGTTTTCAGCTATGTGTAACATTTAGGGAAGAAGGCCTCACCTCTTCCCATCTCTCTTGAGCCAGAAACTGACCAGGGTTCTCCTAGGTTGCAGCCTTGACATTCCTTGTATGGTCAGTTTGGTTTCCAAACCACAAAATCTCTAGGTTCTGGCTGCCATGGGGCACAGTCCTGATGTGTAAGTGAGAGGGCCCTGGGCTGGTCACTTAGTTTCTGTTTCCTTGACTGCGGGATTAAATAAAAGAGTCAGGCACTGGGCAGATGCTTACTCTAGTCCCTGGCATACTGTTCGTATGTGTACCTTGTTGCTGAAATTGAAAGCTGTCAGGATTCTCTCCTAGTTTGTGCTGAATTGTGACACGATCCTGCACATTATTGCTCTGGGTGGCGGAAAGGTTCTTAGAGTCACACACTTCAAGCAGGTAGTCTGGTTTAATCCATTATGACTTTTTCAGGGTAGGTGATTCACATGCGAGAGTAGAATAAAGTTACAAATGCCCCAAACCTGGGCCCAGGACTCTGGCTCATTCACAGGACCTCTTAGGTCACAGAAAACATCATTTGTTAAGCTGATTTTGTATTAAAAAAAAAGCAACAACAAAAAACAAACTATGAAAAGCTACCAAATCCCATCAAAGATACATACTAAATATAAAAATCCTTTGGTGGATGCAAAAGGCTCGTCTCATTTCTCAGGAGGTGGTCCAGAGAACTGCCTGGTATCCACAAGGAAGCACACTGTCCTCAGGGTCCTGAGAACTCTGGCCTCCAGGAAGAGAGAGTTTGGCTGGGCCCGCCCAGCTGCCAGCCATGGTCACTGCCATAGCACTGACTGGTTCCCTCTGTCTGTCAGACCTAGCGAGTGAGTCCATGAGTTCTTCTTTGAAATGGTGTTAGACCCAGACCAGTCACCCCACCTGAGATGTGGTTTCTGAGGTTTAAGGTGTCGGGTGTGGGTGCTGAGACCCATGCCTAGATGGTAAGGTCAAGGTCAGCTTCTCCCTGCTTTAGCTCCTTGAACCAAAGATTCCTAGAAGTGTTCTCAAAAAGAGCCCGCATAAGCAGCGGCACTCATGCAGTCAAGAGACCACGGGGCCTGTTAGTGAGACACAGGCATCCCCCACCCTGCCTCACCTGCAGCACAAACCAGGTGCCTTGGCAGGCTGGGACACTGGTGCCCTGCTGTGTCTTCCTGTGCTTGGTCTTGGCAGCAGGGTTAAAGGGCTTAAGGTCTGTGTGACAGAAATAGGGAGACGGTAGGGTATCCGAGATGCCCTGGCACACACAGTGGTTTAGCCTTGCCAAGCCAAAGGGTACAGTCTTGAATGCTGGGCTCAGGATGGAACCTTGAGGCCGAGGGGAGGCCCACGTGAGCAGCCTCCCCGTCACACTGTCCTTGGCCAGGCTTCCAGCAGCTGTGTCAGGAAGGTGCCACCGCCAAGGCCCCAGGTGGTTCAGGTTGCTGGGCAAGCAGGCCCTCAATCAGAGTCAGAGTCAGAATTCTCCTCTGAAAGGAAAGCATGGAGGATGCCAGGCAGGAGTCTCCAGGCAGCAGTGCCTGGGAGCAGTCTCTGGGGAGGCACTGCCAGGTGAGTGCTGGCAGGAGCCCTGGGCTGAACCTCTCCTGCAGCTGACTCTAGACTCTGCCATTACGAGCATGTGCTGGTGTGAGAGAAGTTGGGGCCTGGGCCCTCCACAAGAGGCCACTTTCACCTCCAGGTGCTGGTCGGGGCGGGAGTAGGGGTAGGAACACGTCCACATCCACCCCAGACTGAAGCCCAGATGTCTCTTCCCCAGGGGCCTCAGGCCCTCCCAAGGCTCCTGGGTTAGTCTCACTTGGAGGTGTTAGAATTGTACATCTGCATTCCAGCCTCATCCCTATCCCCAACTCAGCAGGACAAAGCAAGGACATCTACTTGCTAGTCCCTCACTAAAATATACTGGAAAATCAGCAGACTTAAAAAAAAAAAAGTCACTTTATAGATTCAACTTTCCCCTCCCCTATCCTTGTATATTGTGGTCACAAACAGCTGTATAACGCTAAGGGCCTGTCAGTGATGTGGGACTTGAGGGCTCCCAACACCCGCCTACTGGACTGTTCTGTAGAACCTCCTAGAAGCCCACCTCAGGGAGGAAAAGCACTGCAGGATTCTTCCCCAACCCACTGCAGTTACTACGTTTTACCCTTGCCCCCTCTCTGGCCAGTCCCTGACTCTAAGAATCCTGGCCAGTCCTAGAGCTGTTCCTGGCTCAGGGCTAAGCCTGGGGCAGGTAGAGTGGGAGTTCCCAGAGTACATAGAGAACCTCCCCAAACCCTGGCTCCCCTAACTCTGCCAGGGCTGCACTGATAAGATGGTGTGATAAGATTTTGGTATATTTGTACCTAACATATACTTTCATTGCAATAACTGTAAATGCAACACAAAAAATTATCCAGATATTTAAAAAAACAAAATATTCAAAATGTCTTCCCTGCTATTGATGATTTGATCACTGGGTTGGCTGGATGGGTACTTGCTTCAGGTTGCAGATACCTGAGGACAATGTCCAGGAGCATCTGACTTCATGCTTGCTGTAGCATGGGAAGGACCAGCTGAAAAGCATTCAGTTTTAGCAGAGGGACAGTTTCTGGGGGTCACAGATCCCCATGGGCCGGCCCTGCAGCCCAGCTGTTGGGAACTTGGTGGTTCCTAAACTTAACCGGCGGGGTCCCTCTGAGACAGCAGGCACTCAGTGGGGAAGATCTCGACTTGCAGGCAGGGCCTGGAGTCCCTGGAAAGCCCCTGTCCTCTGTCTACCTGCGCTATCCTGGACACCACTGTTTAACCCAGAGAAGTACCTCAGCTGAATGGGAAACACTGTTTTCTCTCTCTACCTGTCCCATCTCTTCTGCCTGCACACTCCTGCACATCCACTGACCTAGCTCCAGGGTCACCTGCACCTGCCTCCAGCCTGGCTGGCACGCAGGGACCCACGTTCAGCTACTTTATCCCTGTGCATTAGCTCCCATTTCATTCCCGTCATTACTGCCCCACCTGGTGACCTTCTCTGATATCGCCTCCTGCTCCTGTCTCCAGGGGACAACACATAACCTACTGATCCAGTACCACTCTGCTTTAAGGTCTTAACTCCAGTTTGGGCTGTGAGCTCTGCCAGGGTAGACCCTGCCCATTCCCGTACCCCTAGTGCCTAGCACATGATGGGCTCAGTAGGAGTAACACAGTGGAAGGCACAGGGGACACCAGGCTGGGATGAATTTGATGCTGAGCAAGATCTTGGAGTTGCTAGCCAATGGTGGCACCAATTTGTTTAAAGTCTAGCTGGGATTGCAGCGAGGGTGGGGCTGAGAAGTAGCCAATAGGCTTTGGAGTCCTGGAGTACAGGATGAGGGGACCCCACATGAGCACCTTCACCCGCTCTACCCTTCTGCCTCTCTGAGTATGGCTAAGGGCTCCACACCAGCTCAGAGACCCCTGACAAATCTTTGCAGGGCTCCTGCCACATGTCTTGTGTAAGGCACAAGCCTCCAAAGATGTGACAGTTGATATGGCTGTGCTGTCACAGAAACAGCAGCCTTCCAACTTTTAAGGTTTTTTTTTTTTGGTACCCTACTGAACTCAAGACCTTCCGCTTTTGAGGCAGGCATGGTACCACTGAACTAAATCCCTGGCTCCCCCCCCCCTTTTTTTTTTTTTTTGGTACCAGGGATCGAACTTGGGTCCTTGCATTTGTGGGGCAGGCGGCAGAACCACTGAGCTAAATCCCCGGCCCTTGGCCCATTTGTTTTTTAACATCTACAGAACATTCATTGGCCTTTCTGAGCTGAATGAGGGACTAAATGTCTGTTGCTTTTTCCTTGGAAGTAACACTAAAATGAGTCTGAGTGTACCTGGATTTGCCTAGGGACCATAGAGAAGGTAATTGCCTGGGTTCCCTGGCTCTTGGGCTAGGATGGCAGGGGAAGCTGGGTCTGGGCAGGTGGCCACTCTAAACCCAGGTGGACAGGTGTCCTGAGAATGACTGGCCGCCTTCCTTGTTCAGGAAGTGAGATCTGCCAGCAGAGGTACTTGGCAAGCCTGACCCCAGCTTGCTTCTGCTGGGAAACAGCCTTGCTTTGTGATTGGCCACCTTAAGGGGTATTGTCCCTCTCCCAGTCTCAAACTGGCCAGGCAAGGGAGAGGGCCCCTGCAGCAATCCTAGGAGCGATCAGCTGGGTTCCCTGGCAGAGAGACTTGGGGCAGCCACCTACCTTCTTCCCTGTGGGCTGTGGTTTCATCTGCACCGGAAGAGTCCCCTTGCTTGAGAAATTTGGCCACTTCATTAAAGATCAGGTAGAAGTCAACTGCAAACACGATGGTGGCAAAGAAGCCAAAAACCTATGAAACGTGCAGAGCATGTGGATGGGAACACTGGGCAGGGCACATCCCCCAGAGCCCCGGGTCCCAGGACCAGAAGGCTGCATGTGGGGAGGGTGGCCTTAGCTGGCTGGATAGGCACAGCTCCTCTGAGGAAAGGGAAATGCGCTGTGACCCAGGTTTGACAACCAGCCTTTCAAAACGCAGAGCACTGGGTAGATCTGACAGGAGGACTCCGAAATAGCTGTATCCCCGTTGGGCACCCAGGGGCCCAAGCAGAAAGGCTGTGCCCAGGTCCCAACCTAAATGAGGGTTCAGAGTAGCATCTGGAGTTTCAGAAAGGGGATGTTGCTGGGTACCCGCTCCCTGGGGTAAGGAAGCTGCTCACCCCGGCTGCTTTGTAAGACCCATCAGAGTATTTGGCAACAGCGGTGATGGAGATGACAAAGTAGATGAGGGCGGCAGTGACACATCGTAGGAAGTCCTGGGGAGAGAAGGGCATAGCCACACTGCCCTGAGCTCCCCGAGTGGCACGAGGAGATCTGGCAGTCCAGTTACACACCCAGCCCCAGGCCCACAATCCAGAGACTACTACCCTGTCCTGGCCCTTGTCTCATCCCCATGAGTTTCCTGTTGTCCTACAGACTGCCACAGCTGGCACTGTCCTGTCCCTTAACCAGATGGGCTGCCATCCTTTGCCCTGTGGACAATGAACTGAACTAGGCTGCAGCTTGCTTTGTGCCGTGGCCCATGTGGCAAAGTGAGAGTTGGGAACCTTGTCACCTGTTCCTGGCTCTCCAGCAAGGAGTCCTGGCCCTGCACCCCAAGCCACACACTTGTGGCTGATCCACTTACAGATATTCTTTCTCCTTACTCATCCCCACAATGGGAACAGAGGGTGCAGCCCTCCTTAGCTGGGTGCAAGGATGCTGTATGTAGGTAAAGTCAAGAGACCAGGACTCAAGCCCAGCCTTTGCTGCCTCTGCTCTGACACATTCCATTTAGCAGTGATCACTGGCAGGGCTGTGGGGCTCTCCAGGTGATCAAACGTGGCCAGGATGCCAGATGGCTGAGATCTGAGTGAACCCTGCAGGTCCTCAGTTAACCTGCCCAGATGCTGGAAATGGCTCGAATTCCTGTGGCTGGGGTTCATTCTTTCAAGGCCTTGCTGGGGGGAGGCAACAGCGCCACCTGGTGTCCAAGGGCTGCTTTCAGGTTTCCTGCCCAAGGCTCCACCACAGTGGGCTGGGAAGGCCCGGATAATCAGTTCCGGCAGCAAGTCACCCCTCCAGTGCTTTGGAGACAGGGCAGGGTCAACATGCAGGACTCTGGATTTCTCTTCTGCTGATCAGTGATGAATATCACTGCAGCCAGCCCCTTCCTTGTGGGTCCCCTGGTCCTCACCATCATGGGCCAGCACAAGCCCTGCCACTTGTCATTCAGCTGCATGGCATCAGCGAAGAGGAAGTAGAGGGCCAGCAAGAACTCTAGCAGAGGCACTGTGAGGAAGGCAGATGCTGAGGACACCACGTAGCAGATGAAAGTGATGAACGAGAGACCCTGTGGGGAAGCCAGGGAGAGTCAGAGCCTTTTCCTGCCTTCAAGAGAGGCTCCAGCTAGGGTGCCACCTGCTCAGTCCCGCAGCTGGGAAGTGATAGAGTTGGGATTAAGGCTGGCACGAGGTCCAGGCCCACATCCTTGCTGCCCCCACTCCGTCTGGGCATGGCTCAGAGTCCTGATCCCTTGCAAGTCCCCTCCCACAGCCCCAACCTCCCAAGCCTATCCAGCCTTGTCAGAAGATCTCTTCCTGGGGCTGCTCACCCCCACCTGCACCTCCTTACTGCTTTGAGGCAGAATTCACCCAACTCAGTGTCTACTAGGGACAAACTGAAGCTAAATAGCAACCAGTTTCAAAAAGTAACACCTAACACCCGAGATTTGTGTTTTTCACCGAATGTAAATTTTACTTGTAAAACACAAAAACCTTTTTTGGTTTTGTTTTTTTGTTACTAGGCATTGAAGCTAGTGCTTTCTGCACTGAGCCACATCCCTGGTTGTTGTTTTTTTTAAATTTTTTGGGTATGGAGATCAAATTCTGGTCCTTGTGCTTGTGAGGCAGGCACCAGAATCACTGAGCTAAATCCTTTGCCCTTGGTTGTTCTTTTTTATCTTTTACTTTGAAGACAGTGTCTCACTAAATTGCCCAGGGTGGACTCAAACTCCAGATCCTCCTGCCTCAGCCAAAATCTTAAACTTTAGATGATATGAATGCTGAAATGCATATGCACAGAATGTACTAATGTCTGCGATTTGCTATGAATGCATTAAAACATAAAATGGACTGATGGATAATACAGCAAAGTGTTAACCATTGTACAGAAGGTATATATATGGGTGTAACTGATACAAATCTTTCAGCCCTTTTATTTATCTGAAAATTTCCCTAAGAAAAAACTATCTAGGAGAGGATATGGTGGCATTAACACCAGGGCCCTCCACTTCACTTGCAAGGCCATCATGAAAGGTGGCTCTGGTCTACTTGACTGCAGTATTGCCCACCTGCTGCCAATGGACCGGATCCTGAGGCTGCCCTGTTAGTTCTGCAGACCGAGAGGATGGTTTCTCTGTATCCTGTACCCACTGAGGCTTGCATGTATCTCCCTTGATGGCCACCATTATCCATGACCCACTGCCCACAGCTCTTCTTTATAGAGGACCACACACGGCATCACATAGCTACTAAGAGGGTACCAGAATCTGAACCCAGGTCATGCTGACCTGTGGGCTCTGGAGGCTATCATCTACCCTGGTTCCTGTGTGGCTGGGTTTGAGCACGTCCATGGCTGAGTAGCTTGGAGTGGAGCCCAGGGACTGGCTGCAGGGTCCCCATGGGACTCCCAGATACCCCACAGGAAGTGTGGTGGCGGCTTTAGACAAATGAACTGCAGGGATCCCAGGGAGTCCCCAGGGCCCTCTTGGCGTCTTGAACATGGCCTTGGGGGTAGCTGAGCCCCCATAGATAAGAGGCTTTGAGGATCTCTGGGAAGGCAGGCCACAAGACCATGGCCAGCCCTGTCCATATCTCCTACTGTACTTCCTCAGCTCAAGGCTGCTGTGGCCCTCCCCTGCCTTCTCCCCTCCCCACCCCACCCTCTATCAAAGCCAGATTCTGGGTATCCCCTTCTTGATGATTACTGTTTTCTGTCTCCAATCCTTGGTGGCACTTCCTTTCTCCCCCACCCCCATATCCGCCTTCCTTCTTGCGTGGGCCTGGGGGCAGGGTGACTAAAAGCAGCTCCTTTGTTAAGAGTGCACATCCCTTGCCTCTTCTTCCTTGTCCCTCACTGATCCTCCTGTGCCTGGATTCCTGACAGCACGCCAGAGCAGGGGCACCTTCCATGCTCCAGGTGGCACCCCACCCCTTACCCTTGAGGTAGTCCTGGGAGGGGTGGAGTTGGGAGCCCCTGGGGGGGGCAGTGAATTTGACTCCCAGAGGTCCCTAGGGTGCAGCAGAGGCGACCAGCCAGGAGGCCGTCCCTGGGCTTTCCGGCTCTGGGTCTACCAACTACCTCATTTGGGAGGCTCTGGCTCAGGACCGCCTCCTGGCATCTGCCCTGAGGTACAGGCAAGGTCTTGGGGCAGAACTCTTCCGGTGACCCCCACCCTCCTCCTTCTCTCACTTGGCCCTCCTCTGACCCACCTGTCAATCCCCTAGCCGCCTCTACTTGCACTTTCTCTCAGTCTGTCCATCCCCGAGCCCCTAGCAGGTATAAGGACAAGTATTGCCAAGTTTCTGGAGACCTAAAGCCACAAGTGGCCGCCGCCGACGAGAGAACAGTCCTTCCTCCTGTCTCCCCTCTGCCCGGCCCCTTCCGCCCCTTCATTTCCCACAAGCGATAGTGCCGGAGTTTTCCGAGTGTCGGGAGGACAAAGAAGGCCTGCTCGGCCCCGGGTGGGGGAGAGCGGGAAGGCGGAAGGAGCTCAGTGGGGCGGGGAGCAGGGGATGAAGTCACCCCGCTGGCTCCCGCCCCTGCAGCCCCGGTGCTGCCCGCGCCCCCGGCCTCACCCAGTCCCGGGG